AGTTTATTTATATATATATATATATATATATATATAAATATATAATTTATTATAAATTTTAGTTAAAATAAGAAGTTAAAAGAATCTTTTATCAAATAAAACCTACTAAAGAATCTTTGATGAAGTGAGTACTTGCTCTTCATACCCCAAGTGTGGTAGTTCATGTCTTTCATTCTACTGTAGTGCCAGATCTTGAGTGAGATTTAAGATTTAATAATTTAAAAATATTTTTAAAATTAGTTAATGATTATTTATAACTAATTTTAAAAGTCAACTTTTAAAATTAGAGTTCATTCGATTTTAAAAGTTTTCTTGTTATATTATGCCTTTAGCCATGTGTAAAAATTGACAATATTAAAACCTTTTTATTAACAATTATTCTTTAATTTTTTTTAATATTTTTATTTAAAAATAAATTTTTGTTTGAAATCCTAATTGAAATTGTAATAAAAAGAAAATATTTATTTTGTAACTACATTTATAATCTAAATTCTAAACTCTTTACCCATTGTTTTGTTTAAAGTCACCGTCATTTTCAAAGTATGTTATCATTCTTTACTTTACAGATTTTTTTTTCCCTTCCACCTCATGCAAGCTTTTTGAAGAAGTTTCTTCTAAATATAGTTTTTTTCTTTCTTATTTTTCTTCTTATTTATTATTTTAGTTTTCTTTATTCTCAATTTTTCTATTAATTTTGTTTTCCTCTTTATCTCCATGTTTATCTTATGTTTACATTTTGTTTATGTATTTTATTATCTATGTGGCAAATGATCATATAGGTTTGCACTTGATGGTTCTTAACATTTTTTGCTTCATCGCTACATATACTAATGTAAAAATAATATTTTTTTTTTCTTATTTGATTTGTTCAATGAATTTAAGATATTCTTCTTTTTTTCAATTTCTTTAATAAAGTTTAGTGATTCTTTATTTTAGGATTTCTATCTAGGTGTTTTATTGATTGATTAATAAAAAAAAAATTCTCTTACATTTTTTCTTCATCGAAAAACATATTTTTTCATCTTGACTCCATCCAATAACTTGCTAACTATGTAACAACATTTTTAATCAAATAAAAAAAATGCATGATAAAGTTAATCTTTTAAAATTTGATAAAAAAAACTTACTTTCATAAATAAGTATGTTAACTACAAAATGAGTGATTATTAAATTTTAAATATATCAGTTACAAAAAAAAATCATCGAAATAACTATGATATTTATAAATAATTTCACTAAAAGATGATTCTATTATAGAATATTTTATTAATTTATCAAAATTATCTAAAATTTTAAAATTTAAATATATCAGTTACAAAACAACGTGTACAAAAATTATGAAATTTATAAATCTTTTTTACCAAAGATAATTATATTATAAGAAAATTAAGTCACCGAACTAGGAAATTTACATTATTAGACTTCCCAATATTATGTTACGTATAATAATTGGGATTACTAAGATTTGTTTTAGTAACATTTTTTTTTTAATTTTTTAACATTTTTTTATTAAAATTTAGCATATACCATAAATAAAAAGTATATCATTTAACTTTAGAAATGTCTAAAAAATAAATCAAGATCAAACTTTAATTTTGTAGTTATAAAATCAATTATTAATATTTTGTTAAAACAATTAATGCATGATAGTATATATATATATATATATATATATATATATATATATATTTTATTTATTTTTTTATTATGATTAATA